CATTGGTAGATGTGCAGGTGAACGAGCCCCTGATGGCATGGCTGATGTGATTAGGTCCTGTGATGATGTCACTTGAATATGTGGACAGAGTTGGCATCGGACTTTGTTACAAGGATAGGTTCCTGAGTCAGTGTTTTTGTTCAGTGATGTGTGGTTGCTGGTGAGTATTTGCTTTAGGTTGAGGGGTTGTCTTTAAGCGAGGACGGAACTGTGAGAGTGAGGGATCATCTTTCAGGATAGGTTGTAGATCTTTGATGCGCTGGAGAGGTTTTAGTTGGGGGCTGAAGGTGACAGCTAGTGGTGTTCTGTTATTTTCTTTGTTGGGCCTGTCTTGTAGGAGGTGACTTCTGGGTACTCGTCTGGCTCTGTCAATCTGTTTTTTCACTTCAGCAGGTGGGTATTGCTGTTTTAAGAATGCTTGATAGAGATCTTATAGGTGCTTGTCTCTGTCTGAGGGATTGGAGCAAATGCGGTTATATCTTAGAGCTTGGCTGTAGACAATGGATCGTGTGGTGTGTCCTGGATGGAAGCTAGAGGCATGTAGGTAAGTGTAGCGGTCAGTAGGTTTCCAGTATAGGGTGGTATTTATGTGACCATCGCTTATTAGCACAGTAGTGTCCGGGAAATGGACTGCTTCTGTGGATTGATCTAGGCTGAGGTTGATGGTGGGATGGAAATTATTGAAATCATGGTGGAATTCGTCAAGGGCTTCTTTTCCATGGGTCCAGATGATGAAGATGTCATCAATGTAGTGCAAGTAGAGTAGGGGCGTTAGGGGATGAGAGCTAAGGAAGCGTTGTTCTAAGTCAGCCATAAAAATGGTGGCATACTATGGGGCCATGCGGGTACCCATAGCAGTGCCGCTGACTTGAAGGTATATATTGTCCCCAAATGTGAAATAGTTGTGGGTGAGGACAAGGTCACAAAGTTCAGCCACCAGGTTAGCTGTGACATTATCGGGGATACTGTTCCTGATAGCTTAAAGTCTCCCATTATTATCAGGACTTGTGTTTTGGATATTTCTGTCTCATAGCTCAGGTCTCAATAAGTAGATCTTGGGAAAAGTAGGTGATGTTCCTGTATAGCTTTTTATAACTTTTTCTTTTTTAATTTAACCTTTTACAGTTTTTAAACAGTACAGAAAGAACTCTGTGCTCCTTGAAGAGCCAAAGGTTGGTGCTGAAAGCAGTTTAATTTCTGCAGGGGGAATTTCTGCTGAGTACCTGATGATTGCTGTCCTTAAGGAATTTTCCTTTCCTTTTAATCTGAGGTTTCCCATCCATGTTCCCATTGCTGTGCTGCTCACAGCAAATTCACAGCTGCTGCAGCTGCCTCAGACAGCTGCTATGCTAACTCAAAACAGATGTCAAAGCCAGAGGTCTGACATTTAGAGGAAATGTACTATTAAATACCACCTCAGTGGCTTATTTAGCCCTGCTAGATAATGGGCCACAGAGGAAAATGTTTTCACACTATACTTGTGCACAAATTACACAGTCTTCAAGGAGTTTATTGACAGTAGATAGAGATCTTGGCTTGACAAAGAAGCAGCAACAATATGCAATTTTAAAAAAATAAGGGCCAAGTTCAGTCCTGGTGTTTAGCAGATGAAACTCCACTGAAGTCAGTAGAACTGCACCTACTTAAAACAAATCTCATTGTGATCCACAATGTATTTTGTAGCTAAGGTTTGCAAATGCTGTTTATGAATGAACACAGAAGAACATTATCCTGAGCCCACTGAACTCAGTGGCAGAGTTTCTGTGGACTTCAATGGTGCACAGTCAGGGGCTTAGATAGTAAGGTGAAAGGAGTCATATAAATACTTAGAACATAAACCCAGATGTAAATTACAGTGATTTTGGGGGGGTCAAAATTCAGCTTTATTAATTTGTCAAGATACCATTTAATAAAAAGGCCGCCTAGCATGGCTTATTTAGAAGAATTATGGTGAGCTCAGGGCAATAAATAAAAAATGGCATTGAAAATAGATTTATTATTTGCAAGTCTGCTTTTATTTTTTTATCCCACTTTTATGTACACACACACACAAACACACTTTCAGCAGTGCATTAGCTATGCTTGAATACTGATAAGTTGTGCAGCTAAATCCCTACTTCCAGCACTGAAAATGTATCCTATAATTTTCTGTATTTAGTCAGCAAAGCACTGGCATCGTTGTTCAAACTCTCCTTTCCACATTTTACAGAATCAGTGGAAGAACTCTCTCAGCCACCATAAGCAGTGAATCTCACAGCTAACTCAGACCAGGAAAGGGGTGCTTCTGCCCACTCCAGCCAGCATCCAGAAAGATGCCAGGTGCTGAACCTTCCCCATGACACCTGTGGTTCAGTTAGCCCCAGGGACCGAGATTCCTGAGGTCTTTCCAGTACTTGAGTCCCTGATGGTAGCACAGTGCAGTACTGGCTGAGCCTCTGTCACTGTTTCTTCAGTGGGACCTGAGGTTGCTTTCCACCTTTGAATACATAATCAGGCCATGATGAAATTGCTTGAGAATATATTAATGAATTTCACGTGAAGTGCAAAAAAGTGTTCTCTTGATAGTAATACTGTTTGAAAACATTTTTCAAGGCTAGAATTTATTTTATTTTGGAGGTGGGATGGGGAAAGTGTGTCTTAAACTATGGTAAACCAATAACTTGGCTTGTTGCACATAAAAATGTAAATCTGCACTATAACTCTATTAGTTACAAACTCAGCTTACCATAATTATTAACAAAATTCTTTCCCTCTTCATTTTCGAAAACAAAGTGTGTACCCGTTCGTTCTTAGAATGACTGCTGAGAAGACAGACTAGAATTGGGCATGCTGTTTGGGAGTGATCTGAGTTTTACTGTTTCTCAGAAAATGTCCAGAAGAATCCAAGCTTATGTCATTAAGGGTGCTGTTGTTTTATTTGACTTTTTGACTTTTTTCCCTTTATTCTTTACATGACACAATTAATAATTAGTATTTTAGGCTTCAATCTTGCGAAGACCCATGTATGTACTTAATTTTATACCCTATGAATAGTCCTGTTGACTTCAGTGGGACTAAACACAGTCCATAAAGTTAAACACATACATAAGTCTTCGCAAGATTTAGATTGTAAGCACTTTGGGGGGCCATACCTTCATGTATGGTTTTACATGGCACGACTGGGGCCCTGGTTGTGACTGATGCCTCTGGAATTTACTACAGTACATTAGCTTGCAGGCCCTAATGTGAACCTCTTAATTTATGTAAGCTGGAGTTCTGCATGGTAGTTGAGATGCAGCTACTGCACCACTTTTGGGGAAGTTTAAATACAATATTTATGATGACTTTGGCCCCAAAACACATAGGTCTGTGCTAGCCAGTCAGCTTTCAGGATTGGGGAGGTTTTTGGATGAGACTTTGTGACTAGTGTATTTGAATGTGGATTTATAAAATAAACATGGTGGATTCTACCTTTTGCTGTGTGGGGACAGGGCATCAAGAAAGCATCTGAGGAGAAATTAGTACACATTGTATACATTTCATTGTATACAGGTTACCTCATTATCCTCCTTCAAATCCATCCTTAAAAAATTCATCTTTCCAGTGATGCCTACAAAAAACTCAGTAATGGTTAGGCTGCTGGCATGTCAAAATCACTGCCTGCCCGGTACCGGTGTTGTCTTGTTGTTTCCTTGTACTCCCCTGTAGTTCTGTATTCATCTGGTATCTCTTGTGTTGTATCTAGATTGTAGAAAGACAAGGTGGGTGAGGTAATATCTTTTATTGGACCAACTTCTGTTGTTGAGAGAGACAACTTTTGAGCTTACACAGAAGAAGAGCTCTGTGCAGCTCGAAAGTTTGTCTCTCTCACTAACCGAAGTTGGTCCAATAAAAAAATTACCTCATGCACCTTGTCTCTGTAATAGTTTGGGACCAACATTGCATACCTAAATTGTAAGCTCTTTAGGGCAACCCCCTTTTGTTCTGTGTTTTACGGTGCTCAGCACAGTGGGATCCTGGTCCCCGGCTAGGTGCTACAATACTACAAATAATAACAACAACATAGCAGTGATAACGTAAAGAGTAGAACAGTTCTTCACATTACCAGGGTGTATGTATTTTATTGACAGAGGTTGTGTGGTTGAGAAGGACAGGGTGCCTCATATTGATGGAGAACTTGAGTATCATTCAAGAGAAGTTTGTCCAGGCAAAAATATGTACCAAGGCCTGTGAATGAGATCTTTGATCCCCGGAGTAAAGGCAGTCATGCAAGTTAAAGCCACATCTAATTTCTCAGATATTTCATTACATTCCAAAGTCTATAAGAAACCTGCTTGATTCTTGGTCAGTTCCTAAATCCTTTTTGCTTCATCTCCATTTGAAAAAGTTCACCTTTCTTTCCCTCTCTTGCCACTCAGGCTCTTTGTGTTCTTAGTAAGCTTCCCAAAATGCACACCAATGTCTTGATGTTACACAAAATATTCATCTTTAACATGTGTACAAGAATGCATTAGAGTGGCAATTGGGTAACTTTATATTTTAGGTGCAAAAGTGGGATATTCAGAGCAGAATAAACTCTGTAAAGTCTGAGTGCATTAATTATGAAGTCAGAGGGAGAAGATTTTAGCACAAATGTTAGTAGTAGGACTACTTGAAATCAATATAATCATATTGCTCACTTAGAAAATGGATTTAGAACATCACTGCCTTCCTCTCCTCTGTGGAAGATTATATTTGGCTGATTTCAGTAGACTTCATAACTACTTCTATACTTGGCTATGTTAAAAGCAATAAGCAAGGATTTTTATATTTACTCTTGATTTGATCAACACTCAACTGCCAGTGGTGTTAAAAGCACTGTAGTCCTTCACTTTATTAAAAAAAATTAGATTTATTATTATATTATGCCTGTATTAAATTCCTAAGTGGAGGCTGAAGTGTCTTTGTCAGTATAAACTACTATTGATTTATCTGTGGTTTTGTTTTTCTTTCCTTTCTGCTACCTTTGTCTGTTACTAAAGGAAGAAATGCCCCCGGAAAGCCAGTAAGAGAGGTTAGTGAGATTCAGGCTCCCTGTGACCAACAGAAGCCATGGCATCTTGCTCTCTGTGTCCGGCATTTGTGTGGCAGCTGTGTAGCTTATTTGTTTTTATTTTGTTTTTGTTTTGTTTTCCTGAGTGCATGCCACAAGCGTGCTCTAATATACAATGCCTCTCAACTTTCAATGGGGAAAATGTTAGAACAGGAGTGTGCCTCACTTCCAAGCCCCACAAAGATGGAAACTCAGGAGATGACAGAAGATGAGACTATATTAAAATAAAGTCGTTATGTGACACACATGATCAAAAGTCATAATCTGTCATTGGCCTGTTCCTGTCCATAAGCAGAATTGTTTTATAGATATCTATAGAATCAAGGTAAATAGGTTTTTCCTTTAGTATACTGAAGGTTGAGAGGTATGAAAAACTCACACTTTTTTTTTTTAATTTGCAAATTCAGTTTTGCACAATAAGGAATGCTCCTAACATCCACCGACTTAACAGCGCTGCATTCAATTATATAAAGGAATAAAGGTATTTGCTGTGTGCTCTAGAAATGATCAATTTGATGAAAAAATAGCTTTTTATAATGCTCTGAGCTTTCAGAATTTGTACTTCTCTGCCTATTACTGGAGTGAAAATGTTTTGTGCAGTGTTGTCATATTACCTTTTTAAGTACTTCTAGTGAACTTTTTTTTATTGTTAAGCTATTCTTTGCACTCCTAAAGGCCTCATGTTTGAAAGATGAAATGCCCAATGAAATGATTATGAAAGATAAAATATTCAGAAGCTACCTTAGTGTAATCACAGCTGTGAAATGAACTTGCAGAAAATCATGCACAGAAGGTGCTTAGAATGAACAAATCAGGAATTTAAAAGGTGGCCTAACTGTGGGATGTTACTGTACCTGCAATGGGGAGAAACTAATTGTGACATACTCAGACTGCATCTACACTGGGCTGGGGGAGGAGGGGTTAGCCACCAGAGTAGCTACACCACTGTGGCTGACCGTGCTACATTGGCATAAATGGCGATTTGCACTGGTACAGTTTCCCTGGGGTGAACTGCACTTGTACAGCCATTTGCACTGGACAGCTATATCAGTGACTAACCACTTCACTGTAGATCAGCCTTTCCTCAAGGGAGATATCTGGTGCTTGCTTATTAACTTGTTCATCAACAGAGTATCTGACACTTCATCAAGCAGATTGCACCTGTTTAAAAATTCTATGGAAATGATTTGGTATTCAATTCTGCTAATTAATGGCCCTTAAGAACTGATGATTAGGCTCCATTTGAACAGAACAGGCCCTTGATGTTGATTTTCTTTGGCTTTGGTTATATTTCCATACATCATTAACAAAGACAAAATGCAGGTTGTGTGTGTGTGTGTGTGTGTGTGTGTGTGTGTGTAGTAATACGTAACTTAAAC